AGGTCTTTTTTGTGTGTATGTGTGGTACTAGAGATTGAACTCAAGGCCTCACACATGCTAGGCAAGTACTGTACCACTGAGCTATGTTTCCATCCCTAGAGAAGGTCTTTGAGTAGTAAAAGTTAAGCACTTTTGTGTGTGAAGATTTTTTTTCCGTTCCCACCGAAAATTGGTTTGGATGAGTAAATGTTTCCACATTTTTTCCTTATAACTTTGAAGCCAGTTCTCTATTTTCTTTGCTTTTCCTTTGTCTTTCTAGTGTTTCTGTTGCTGATGAAAAGTCTATTGTTTACTTTTATGTGGTTTATACATCTTTGTAGGAATTGAGGTTTTTCCTTAAGATTTCTTGAATTTCAGTAGGATATTTCTAGGCCAGTGGTGGCAAACCTGTGGCACATGTGCTACAGTAGGCTGTTTGTATATTGAAAGCTCTAAAAGGTTTGCTGTCACTGGTCTAGGTCTTCCCCTTCTCCGCTAATTGATTCTGTTTAACACTTAGATTTTCACCTTGTAATTCATGTTCTCCCTCTGCCCTAGGAAATTTATAGAAATCACATAAGGATAGATGCTGGGCTTTCTAGTTCTTTATTTTGTCATTTCCTTCATACTTGAAAGTCAGTATGGAGGATTTTTTAGTTTTGTTTTCCATTTTACTGTTAAATATATCTATGGAGCTTTCTTTTGGTAATTTTTTCTCTTATATAAAAGTATTTTTGCTTTGTTTTTTGAATCAGGTCATGCCATGTAATCTAGGCTGGGCTTGAACTTGATCTGTAGCTCAGGCTGGCTGGGAACACATTATCTTCTTGCCTTAGCCTAGAATTACAGGTGTGTGGCATCTGCACCTGGCTGTAAAAGTATGTTTATTGAGGTATAATTTATGTACAGTAAACTGCATCCAGGTAAAGTATACAAATTATTCATTTTGATGGACACACACACCACACACACACACACACACACACACACACACACGTATATACACCATCCCCAGTCTCCTAACAACCAAGATTTGTGTTACCACAGAAAGTGTTTCCCTGCCCCTGTGCAGTCCATCCTCTCTCATCCCCAGCCTATAATGAGCTTGCTTTTAGGTGCAGAAGGGATTAGTTTGCATTATCTAGAGTTTCCTGTATATGGATTCATATAATATGTAGCCTTTTGGGCAAAACTTTTTTTTTTTTTTAACATTAATAAAGATAGAACTGCATAATCTTTTTTTTTTTTTGGTACCTGGGATCAAATTTAGGACCTTGTGCTTGCGAGGCAGGTGGTGGCACCACTGAGCTAACAACCCAAC